AGGCAGGAAGGGCAGGAAGGGCAGGAAGGCAGGAAGCAAGGAAGGAAGGAAGGAAGGAAGGAAGGAAGGAAGGAAGGAAGGAAGAAAGGAAGGAAGGAAGGAAGGAAGGAAGGCAGCGTAGCCATTTTGGCTGAAGGTGTCTACATCGTCCTTGACAACTACAACGTTCTCGCGCTCTCAAAGGGGAAACTCGTGGCAGTGAACCCCCTCCTTGTTCCCGTGCCGTCGAAGGGGGGTCTGTCTATCTGCCGCTTTGTCTTTAAAAGTAACTAGTATTTCTGCAGGATAGCTTGCGGCCATTCGAGCTCACCGGAGACTTCGCGACACCTTCCTCACAGCAGGCGACCTGGGGTCTGCAAGAACTCCACCAAGAACAGCGCTGCAGGGGAGCTGACAAAGTTTTTCTCTACCCTCTCTAAAAGGTTTGTGGGGGACCCGCGTTTAACGAACCCCGACGCTGGGATGGGACCAACTTCACCTACGAGTTTGAGCAAGTGGCAAAACCGCCGACCTAGCATAGTTCGCCCTACATCGTGCCCTACATCATGGGGGAGCCTGCGGGGGCCCATATAATATGCAGGATATGGTGCTTTCACGGGCTAGACCAGAAGCACCCTGCCAGTGCAGGGGGGCGAATGGGTCAGCAAGACTACCGAGAACCTGGTGAAAATCCGTTGCGATGGAGTAGCTGTTGCAGATACAGCCGCTTGGCACAGCTTAATCGAGGAGTTATGCCGGTTGAGCTCACTTGGATCAGCCGCCCTGTCCTGGAAGAAAAGGGGGAGGACGGGGAGAGGGCACGTTCTTTGACGTCAGCTTGCAGAGGCGTTACACTACCATCGAGTGGGAAGAGGTCACCAGAGAACTCCGTGAAACCAGAGAGATGGCGAAGCTCAGAGCAAAGGCCATAATGCTTGAGCTCTACCGCAAAGGCCCACGCCCGCGAAAGCTGATCATGAACCTGGCGTACAATGCCGAGCTCGCTGATCAGACGGGGAAACCTCGTCTGGCACCCGGATGACGTCAATGACATACACCACAAAGAGACCAACCCTGCAGCAGCGGGGGAAGAGGTCAATCTGGGGGCCATGGCCTGTCACCCAGAATGGCCAGAGAGGCCATCCTCGAGCCCACAAAGACGGGGGAAAGGGCTGCAAATCCACATGTCTACAGGGGAATCCGGGAAGGTGGAAAGCAGCGTGGAAGGTGCAAAGCAAGTTGGATTGGCGAGCACAGAGGAAACGAAACAGTGCTGACAAAGGGCGCGCGTGACAAGAGAGCGAGCATGACTGCCAAGAGGGCCAGGGGGAGAGACATAGTGAGATGGCTGAAAACAAATTCGTTCGCCAATTGCACATTCTTCAGGGGAAGGGACTGCCCTTTCGAGGGGATGATGGTTTGGGTCGGACTGAGTATGCGCAGTACCTTTCTCGCTGACCAACATCTTTGGTGTCCCAGCGCCGGGGGATCATACGCAAGTTTCAATCTTGATGCACCATAGAGACTCTGTAGCATACCCGCCTTGTGATACAAGCCAGGAGTGAAGTGATGTATACTTCAAGTGTACCGTAGCCTGCTTCAGCAGATGACATCGCCAATCGAAGTTTCCTTCCGGGCTTGTTGCCGACTTGCAACGCTCCTAATTGTTTGAGGTCTCCCTGGCCAGATTCTTTCTAGCCCGCCTGCCGTCCACGTTGGTAATTCGAATGCGCACTCTTTTCAGGGGGATGCCTTGAGAGCTGACATACATCCCGATCCTTCTATCGTATACTTTATGGCATGAGCAAATGGATGCATTATACTCGTTCAGCACACTCCTACTCCTGCATAACATATGCGGGTGGGCTTGAGATGCCCGGGGGTTTTCGCCGACCCTTATGCTCGGGAGAGAGAGAAAAAGAGAGAGAGAGAGAGACAGAGAGACCCATGCCCAATGACAGAAAGAGAGAGAGAGAGAGAGAGAGAGAGAGAAAAAAAGCGCACTGTAGGATGTATCTCTGTGCGAAGCGGGGGGACAGATATCATACTGTCGTGTTGTAAGTGATTAGTGTACTTGTGCCCTGAGATTTTCTTTGCCGCTCACGGAGATATCATACTCAACTTGCCCTCAAAGCCCCATAACACAAGGGGGGCCACAAGGCCGGGGGGCTTACTTCGTCCCCTACGCCCAATGAAAGAAAAGAGAGAGAGAGAGAGAGAGAGAGAGAAAACATCGTGTTAGCACAGATGCATGTTTTCTGGAGAGTATACAATCACTTGGATCGTTATCGCATCATTTATGGCTTCAGCCTTTAGGTGATTTATACTCGATACTCACTCCCTTGTGCCCAACAATACGTTGGGTGGGCATGATGCCCGGGGGATTTGACAGTCCCCCAAGGATTGAAAGTAAGGCTTGCGCGTATTTTGCTTGGGTGCAGCTGTCCGGGGAGTGTGCGCGCAAAGGTTTCGGGGTGAAAGGAAGCTAGGGCAGTTGCGCAAGGTTCGGTGTGTGGAGGGAGCGTTGAAGGTGTACACGGGAAAACACCCCTGGTGTCACGCCGACTGTTGCGCTAGCCGCCGGACGGACAGAGCCCCTTCGGGGGCGCGCCTGCGTGTGCCTGAGTTCTGGAAAAAAAGAGCTTGTGTTCGCTGGTTCCTTGGTTCATCCCACGGGGGCACCAGCTCAAGTCAACATCCGCGAACAAGCGGCTCAACCGTCGTTGTTGCGGACGACCCCTTCCCTCAAACGCGCGGGCTAGGGGGCTGGTCCTACTTCTAAGCCTCAGCAAAGCAAAGAAAGAGTGAGAGAGAGTCAGGATATCTTGTTACGGGCCGGTAGCTGTTGTTGCCCCTTAGAGCCTCTGAAGAAGGGCGCGCCCCTCGGCGCGGGGGTCTGACTCGCCCCCTGGACCCCGCAATGAAGTGAAATGAATTGGAGAGAGTCAGGCAGGTGAGGCAGGGATACCAACAAAGAGCAGGGGCACAAGCTTAAAGAAGACAAAAAATTCGGAGCCAATCAAAGCCACTGGTTCTACGTGCATTGCTTTTGGTCATGGCCTCAGAGTGTTTTGCAACGCCCCCTTGGGGGGGCCAGCGAGGGCGCCAAGTCTTATCGGGGCAATGGCCCGTGCACCGCCGAGCGAAATGTGGATGGTCCCGCTCTGACGAGCGGGAGGTAGGGACTGCCTGCCTCCCATGCCCCGGAGCAAAGCAAAAACATGCCAGCAAGAGAGCGGGCGAGAAAACACTTTGGTGAAGTATACTTCGGCACCGAGGCAGAGGCAGAGACGGAGCCTTCAGGGCCGTTGCAGCTCATCGTTGGTCCTCAGGGCACGAGGTGGCGAAGAGGCACCTTACGCTGTGCCACTGATGCTGGAAGCTTTGCATTGATTGGGGGTGGAAGGCAGAAGGCAAGACTGAAGTCGCTACGGGGTCGTTGCCTCTGGCCGAGACCGAGGCCTTTCGTGGCTCCGCTTGAGAGCTCAGGTTTAACTCAGCAGTCGGGGGCCGGCTGCGCGTGAGACAGATTCTCGAGGCTCGGTGAGGAGCCTTGAGCCCAAGCCGAGATGGGCCCGAATTGGCATTGGAGGCACCCGACGGCGGGCGCTCCCTGATCGGGCAAAAGGCAAGGAAAGCTTCCTCCGAGCTGCCCGGCCGCTCATTTGGCCATTCCGCCTGCAGCAGGTGGTGGTTTGTGGCTGGGTGGCCTTCCAAGCGTTTAGTTGCGAGTGTGCCCGTCTACCGGTCAGCCAGCTCTCAGGTGCGTACTGTCCGTGCTCAGAAGAAGTTGGCATTCCTGAAGGCCCAGCCGTGTCGAAGCCTGTCGGGCAGTCACTAGGCAGCCATTGGATACTAGATACCAGCGAACCCAGCTTGTGCAGGTGAATGATGGATCGACAGTTCAGGATTTTGAGTAGCACCGCCTGTTGCTTTGGCTTTCGCTCACATCGAGCATGGGGAGCAGCATTGCCGCCATATCCCGTTGACGAGACAGGAGCTGCAGATCGTCGTGCTGCTCCAAGACCAAGCTTGTTTGCTCTCGCTTGCCTCAGCTGATGGATTTGTCCGTCCGGATCAGTCAGCACTTGTATTGTCGGGCTGAGTCTCAGACTCGTAACTGATTTGTTGGAACAAGAACGAACAACTTGTCTCGCCAGGCTCCATGACATGACTTTCGGCAACTATTTCATCCTGACCACTTAGGGTCGTAGTGTACAAAATATCTGCATCGTAGCCTCGTGGCAGCTTCCTCTTGCCGGAAATGGTGTGGGCATCACGATGTGCTCCTTGGCAACAGGTGTGTTTCGTGTCGATTTCTGTTTTCGAACGACAGCTTTAAGGCACAGTGGATCCATCGCTGCCAGCCCGTCAGGAGCTGATCAGCTCTAGACGCCTAGCCGTGCCGGAGCCTGCAGGTCATGTTGCCCCAATGTTCAGGAGACTGCCGGGTACGTTGATGGAGCGCAGATGCCTTCAGGAAGCTTTCCGAATCACACCCAAAGAGGCAAGGGAGCAATTCCCAAAGCACAGAACTCCTCCATCCGCTGTGCGCATTTGAGATTTGCAGGCATGGCCATCTACCACGGCACGGAGGGCTTTCAGCGCCACACCCGGGCCACAAGACATAGGCCCAACCTCTGGGCAACCAGGGCCACCTCCTGTGCACCCGCTGCTTGGCCCGCACATGCCCTTGCAGACGATGTGTGCTGTAACGCGCTGCGCTGCATCGCGCTGCAATGGGGAGACTCTGTGAGGTTCTTCATGGAAGCTCTCAGAGGCATGGGCCAGGTGGTCTTCTGCCACCCGACGCAGAAGAGGTCAAGGGTATGTCATGCCGATGCCTTCTAGTGATCCGTAGCTGGAAGTCGTGGCAAAAAATGCGGCCCTTCTAGGAAGGTCTAGCTTTCTAGCTTGCGGCCAAGGCAACAGCGCGGTCTCCGGCGGCTTCCTCGCAGCTCGGAAGGGCTACGAGAGCGGGAGAATAGAGAGGCCTTCTGCACGCCTTCCTCGTGCCATCTCGCACCCTTTAGGCCGGTGCCTTGCTGATCGGAGATGCCGAGTTACCTGGCTGAAGCTAAGCAGCCCCTCGCGTCGGCTGGTGCATGTCCAGCCGCTGAGGTTGGGCGTCCTGGCACTCGCAGGAGTCACCTCTGCCACCCTCACAGCACGTGCTGCCTCACTGGACCCCCAGGTCGCCAACTCGGTTGAGCTCGGTTGAATCATTGTGGCGAGGATCTTTGTTAAGTGTGTCTTGCAGTTTGGCATGGCACAATCTTCCTCACCTCCAATACACGGCTGTCCGCCAGCTACCATCAGTTGGCGGACGGCCGGTCTCATTTGGCGGGTCTGAGGGCCTTCGTGCTACCTGCTAAAGTGAACCTGGGTGAAGTGATGAAGGCTTTCAGCCGAGTCTCTGAAAGACGAGGCTAGTCTCGGACCCAGAGACTTATACCAAGGCAAGTGTTAACATAGATGTCTGATCCGTCGGATTCAGTTCCCATCAGACACAGCTCTGACTCCCATCCCAACTGCTTATTCTCCAGATGTCAGGGTTCTGGCATTGTCCGAGCCCACGGTTTTAAGCACGTTTCAAAAGCGGAAACATGAAAGGCTTGGTGGTGAAGAAGGATGTCGGCTTTTGTGGGCTTCAGAAACTAAAAAACTAAAAGTGGGAACGGCAAAAGAAAGTTGGGAAGAGTGGGACGCCTGAGCGTGGAGCGCCTGGAGCCGGTTTGCACCCTGCGGGATGTCCTGCTCGAAGCTTCCCCTCTGCTTGATATGACTCTATAATGAGACACTCATGTCATGATGCCACCTTGGTGAAGCACTGCGGCCTACATTTTCAGAGGAGTAAACTTGTGCTGAGGCGATTTCTGATGGCCTGATGGGATCCTTGGACCGCACTGACGGGGCCCACCACCGCGGGAGTATGCAGGGACTGCTCAGGATACAACGGCGCACTAGTCGGCTGCGCGCTCTCCGTCTTCCAGCCCGGTGTTCCCCTGTGGACTGCGCTTGCCGCAACTATCGGGTGCCACAGCATCAAGAGGAAGCCGCCTTCGGGAAGATTGAAGATCCCCAGAATTTGTGCGTTGTGTGTAGAGACCTGCAGAGGGCGGCCGTCGAAGTCGACCCCATTCCTGCGCGGGAATCAACAGCGAGCAGCGTGTCTCTCACCCCCCGCCGCAGTCCCCGCACAGCCTGCTCCAGGTGCACGCCTCAGCTCGCCACCTCCTTGGCGATGGCGGCGCTCACGGCCGCAGGGGCTGCAGCAACGGTGCCGCTCGCAGCGCTGCTCGGACGAACTGTCCAACGAGGCAAAAATCTCCGTGCAACCATCCATAGAGGCAGTCAATACAAGAGCTACAAGAGTTGCGGGCCAGGTTTAAGGGGACGGTTGCTCACTTCGCGGTATTTTGGCCAGCCCAGACTAGGCCAACCGCCTTGGTTCGTTGGCAAGCTAGACATGCAGGGAAGGCGCCCGTACGAGCGCTTAGTGCTAGAATGGAGTGCCTGAAGTGCTGGCCGAGGAAGCTTGGCCCGTTGCTTGCCCCGGTACCCCAGTACACCATTGCCTTCAATGCAGTCGTCTTGGCGGTTGGGTGCTCAGTGTTCCGCCTGCCTCTGACCATGCAGTTCCGACTGCCTGGCTTCGTGCGTCTGTTTCTGAAGTGTGAATGGGTTTGTTCATCTTGGCTTCTGTGTTTACCTTTTCTTGTTGGCCTGACCACATTTACAGCGGTGCATCTGCACTTTGTGTTACTGCTCTTTATGGATCCACTGGGCCAGCAGCTGAGATCCTTGCCGGCTTCTCTTTGGCGCTACCTCCGCCACAGAAGCAGAAAACCTCCGATTCCGAGCAGAGTCAGCAGGGCGCCTCGGCATGCGACCGGACCTCCAGAAACCCGTGGATGAACTGCTCTCTGCAGCTCAGGTGGATCTGTTCTGGGATTCCTATACCGCTCAGGACTCATCGAAACCCCATTCTGGAATCTGCCGCTAGTTACGCTGACCTCTCCGGCAGGAGCAATTCCAGATATGCTTGAGGCCTCTCTCCACGGAGTGTCGCAGATCTTTGTCGTCAATCATGCCGGTACAGGCGCTGGTCGCTTTCGCTTTGAACCCTTTCTTCGCCGTGCTTGCATTCTGTCAGCAGGACTGATGCTGCTTGCAGGGCTGCTCGACTGCAAGCCCGAACTCCGTGCAAACCTGCCTACTCTGACCCCAAGGATTTTCTGCTATAGCCCGGCAGCTGCTGCAGTCACTTTCGCCGGATCTTTCCTGGGCAGCCTCACGGCAGTGCTGTTGCGGCAGGATGTCGATGAGGTGCTCTGCGGATGATCATCTGCCCTTCCCTCCTTGTGATGATTGCATTGATGACAGTCTGTCTCTCTCTCTCTCTCTCCCTCCCTCTCTCTCTCTCTCCCTCTCTCTCTCTCTCTCCCTCTCTCTCCCTCCCAATCCTCTCTCGCTCTATCGGTACCTCTCCGCCTCTCTCTGCATCTCTTTGACTTGCGGCATGTCTCACCCCTGGCGAGCAAAGCGGGCTGTTCTGCTGAACGGCCGCTCCGTCCCTGCCCTATGTCAATCTCTCTCCCTATCTTTGCGTTTGCTGCCAAGCCTACCAAGAACCAGGCAGGCAGCTGCAGGCACATTCGGCCCATGTTTTCGGGACCGGCAAGCTGGTCGCAGGTGATGGACGGGCTCTGGGGCTACAACTCCGCTTTGTCCGCCCTGGCCGTGTCGAGCCGTGGCCGAAGAGGCCGAGCGCCGCGCTGCTCGAGCGACGAAGCTCTTGCAGGGTCAGATTTGAGGGAATGTGCTTGTGAACTCTAGAACTCTAGTTCTGTTTCTATCGGATCCAAGGATCTTTTTCGTGCCACTAGGCGTCCCTTTTGGCCTGCTTGCTTGCGGAGGCAGGGGTGGGAAAGGACCCAAGCAAGCATGCAAGCCAGTCCTTCATACCAAAAAATTCCATAGGTGGACACAGTGTGAGCGTATGCTCGTGTGTGCGTGGGCGCCGTTGAGGTGCAATGGCATCCACCCTGGCTACGATTGGCTTCAAGGAAGCACTCGGAAGTGCTAATCTGCCTCCAATGACAGTGCCGTTTTGCACTGTTGCGCTGGAGGCTTATTTGAAACTGAGGGAAGCAGGCTCTGTGACTCATTGATACTAGTAGCAGCCGTAGCATGCTCGCTGAGGTCAGGCAGCTTTCTGCTTGGGGGCCGTGTGCCAGGTCTTGTTCATGCAGCACGTCCCCATTCGCCAGAGATGAATCTGCACGCGTACCGTCATTTCTGACCCTCTGGCCAAGCTCTTTCAGCTTCACGGGATCACCATGGCCCTCATTTTCCAACCAGTCCTGGTGCGACCTCACGAGGCGAAGTTTCACAACATCGGAGAAAGACACTTATAAACCAGCGGAACACAAGTCAACACGAGCTGCTTTGTGGTTTCTGTCTTTGTCGTCCGCGCAGGAGCATTGCAATGCTGCTTGTCTTGCTGAATTTGAGGCTCTTTCAGAGGCCAAGGGCTTTGAGGAGGCAGGGCGATCCTGCAAGTTCCCGACCGAGTCGGTGTGTCACAGTGTCACATGTTATGCTGTTTGTTGTGCCTGTGATGCTATTGAAGGCTTTTTCTCCGTATCCGTTCGGAATGTCCGGACAGGTGTGCAGCCAGGGAACCGGGGCCTCCGTGCGAGTGGAGGGCGAGGCCGACGATTCTGCGGTTGGAAAGCTTCGACGCTTGATTCGGGCTCGACTTCTGGACGAGGTTGTCGAGTCGCCTGCCAAAGGCCAGGAGGTCGAAATCTCCTGCAGCACAGCTAGGCGCTTGATGCAATGCGGCGTCGCCTTTCATCGCCATGCCAGCCGTTTGCGACTCTCTAAGGCGGAGCACAGTGTCAGGAACTCATGCCATATGATTTGCTTCAGCTCTTAGATTCTCTTGGAGCCCAGATCGAAGTCCTGGGAGCCGTGGACTCCAAGGCCCCAAGTCCAAACTCGGACGCTTCACTAAAAAGCAAGTCACTTTGCAGGCCTATCCGCTGGCCAAAAAGCCATTGCCTCAATCTTGCAGTCAGAGCCCTTCGTGTTACTCTGCTGCCCAGGAAGCATAGCATTGAGTTTCTCCGAGAAATTGCACACCTGCGGCCTAGGCCCTCTGAGACTCTGTGCTGCACTGCTTGTGATCTTATGACCCAGTCCTCCTTGCTCTCCAGCCTCGCGATCCACGTTGTGTACGCATCGCCATGAAGGACTCTGAACACACCCGACGATCATAGCAGAACCCCATCGTTCCACGGCACGAAGCCTCGGTGGCAACCTGTGTCAGCTGTTGCACCTGCTGTATTCGGCGGCGAGCTTAAAGCTCCGTGCCCTGTGGTTGCTACTTGTAGGGCCCCTAGGCTCTTGCTCATGCGTGATTTGTTGCTGGGCCATGGCGCGGGCCGCCCTCGCTGGCCTAGCCACAGGGGTCCTTGTGCCTCAGCGGAATGCTGCGCTTTTGCGACACTCTTGCGACCATGTAGTGCAGCTACAGATCCATAACTCATGCGTGTTTGTGTGTGTGTGTGGTGCCTCTCAGGCGGACCACCTGCGGCGTCATTGGGTTTCTGGGACCGCCAGGTATACCCGGTGCGAAGCGAGCGACAAGCGCTTTGAGCTGGTGTCAAAGGACACTTGGCAGGCTGTTGGTCGCCTAAATCCGCCGAATCATTTCCACTAGTCACCAGCGCAGGCTTCGGGTAATGTAGCAAGACGGGCCCAAAAAATGGACGCCGTTCCTAAAGGCTAGACCAAGGCATCACGAATGGAGCAAACTGCTGAAGAGTCAAGGTTAGGCCCAAACGCTCAGAAGATGATACCCACAAGAGGACTAGAAAGGACATTCAGGCTGCACATGTATTGTTGTGGTGTTTGCAGGCAGGGACATATTCACTTCTCGTTTCTGCTGCTGTGTATCACACCCGTTTTCAATCGAAAGGCGCGGCGTTACGTTCAACCTTGGCTAGGTTCGGCTCGGCGGAGCAGGATTTCGTTGTACGGACAGTGTTCACGCAGGGTTGTGAAGTTTGACGACGCTTGATAGACGCACATAATCGAAAGACAGTGCGCCGTTTTGTCCATCCGGTTCAGTGTTTCGGGTGTTGAACCGCCCGTAAACGGCTGCCACTGGGGGTCCGCGGTGCCCTTCTTGCGTCATATGACAGGTTTTTTTAGACGGCACTACTCATGACCGAACTGGCCAAGTCGATTGAGAACGACTCTTCATGTCCCAGGATCACACACGGCAAGTTTACCAGCTGTGGGCATGATCTAAACAGGGTCTTGTTGGCGCACTGGATGCAGAAGCCTGCCCAAAATTCGGCTTGAATGTTAACGGACTTAAGCACAGCCATCAGTCGATAACCTTTACTTTACTGACTCAGCTACCTCGATGTCGGGATCGCTGAGATAAGCTACCGTGCGAGTGAGTTGAGCTCAGGAGAAATACCTGGAATCGAAGCGGGCAGCATCGACGACATACTTCCAGGTGCCTGCTTGCAAGCTTGCTCTCTTGGTTCTGCTGTACATCTAACGATTTCAAGCGTCGTGCCGTGCTGCTCCAGTTCAGCTCGAGCTCGAGGTGCCGGGAGGCATGAGATGCTGCGACCTGAAGATCGGATCCGGGGAGGAGGTCGCCGAGCAGCCCGGCAGCGGCCATCAGCGGCCGAGCCCTTCGGCCCCCTTGGGCCCTTCATCGGAGCTTCTCTAAGGAAGGGCTGGCTCGTTTGCATTCACTTCGAAGGCGACTTCTTTCTGCACCGGAGATTCTTTTGAAGATTTGGGGCGCGGACAAGTGGAGAGAGTGTGATTTGAGGAAAGTGGCTCAACGGCAAGGTGATAGAGTCCTCCTACAATGCCGGGCCGAGTCCACTATGCATTGAGGCCTAATTGTCAGAAGAACATAAAGGACGTAGCATAAACCTACCTTGCGCCGGTATCGCCCGGACGCAGGCCGGGAACTCACCCGAATTTCCGGCACTCGGCGAAGGGGTGCTGGGCATGCGCTCAGGATGGGATTCTGGTGCCCGTTCCAAGACAGTCTGTAGAACATGTCGGACAACTGGCTGCGTTGACCTCCTGCAGGAGGGCGACGGGAGCTCATCATCCCGCCCAGTCGCTTCAGCTCCATCGGAATTTCGGGTTGTCCATGTTCCTGCCGTTCCCTCGTCTCTCAGCTCGACCTGCTGAGGCATGAACCGTGCCGGTGTGGAGGAGGTGATGATTTACATAGTCGAAGTGGCGAGTGTTGCGAGCTTCGGCTGAAGCATGTGATGTCCATGTATCGGCAATGTGCGGATTAGCGCTTTCTGACGGAAGTCCTTGAGGCAGCCAACCTCTGATGGAACTGTGCATCAGCACGAGAGACCACCGCAGCATGCGAACGAGGACATGTTCTCCAGCGTACCCTGCCCGCAAGACGGGTAGGACCAGAGCAGGGGCATGGCTTCTTTCCATCGGGCACCTAAGTTGTGGCAACGCTTGCTGCCGCGGTCATGACTGGAGCAAGAATCACGGCAAAGCAGCGCGCATTGCAGAGAAAAGGTCACCTCAACTAGGGAGCCGGTCAGGTCTGTGGGTGCCAGTCTGCCAATCACCATCGGTGTCGAAGCATCTTTGATGGCAGGTCAAACCTCATTGGTGCAGTCAGCCGCGTGCGGAACAACTTAGCAATGAGTGACCCTATCGCTGACCGCGGCACAACCTGCGATAGTAGCACCTGGCTGAACTGCCTCTGCATCTCGGGCAGATACAGTCGTTGCTGGTTCGCAGGTACCCACCGCTTTTTCCAAGACCGAGGGTTCTTGTATGTGTCATGGCCTTAAAAAGGGTCAAGCTCTACTTCATTTCTTAAAGGGGTTGCGGTGCACGGAGACATCAGGCATACCCCCATTATCACCACGGCAGATTGCGAGGGAGCTGGTGAGATGTTCCGCATCAGTGCTGAGAAGGCATGTTGCTAAGTGCCCAATTTCGGCAGCCAGTGGCAGAACAGAGTGTGAGCCCAGGGAGAGGAGGCGGTTGAAAGCAAGGCGGCAGCGGACGGGGCGGAGTTCTTTGGTCGAGCAGCATATCTTACGGTGAAGGGCTTGGGCAGCCAGTTGCCGGCAGTGCATAGCCAATATTCAATAGGCACAGGTGCAAGAGAGTGGCTAAGGTCAGCGGGCAGTTGGCGGTGGAAAACTTCTGCTGCGGGCTGGGTGATGCAGCTGCCTCAAACTGCAACGGCCAGTAAGCAACGTGAGCAAGAGTCGTACTTTTCTCGCTCAAGGTTTACACCTTTGGCCCTACTTTCCGCGCTGAGAATTCCAGAAAGCTCCTCAGATGTGTGTGCGCCATGATTCTCATCAAGCCACACCACAGCAATGCGCACTGGTCTCCGAGTGTGAGCGTCAAAAAGCGTGCACTCGAGGCACTACTAGGCATCTGGCCGAGTTCTGGATGCCATGCGCTCACCTTGAGCCCTGGCAAATCCACACGGCATCTCTTGGTGGAGCTTGAGCTTGAGGATCGAGCCAGAGCTTGCCTTCGCCAACTTGGAGGACGACATGGACTGCGCGGAAGCTTTCATCAGGCCGCGTTTGGCGGCACCTCTCAGTACACATGCCTCGGAGCTTCTCTCCACAAGGTTCTGTGTGTCCAATGTCCTGGAGTCTTGCAAGTCTGATGTCGACTTTTTCAACCTGCGGGTAGAGTCTCGGCTGGACGGAGACAGGTGCCGTGCCTCATTCTCTGTCTCTTGCCATAGCCTCTTTAACTTCCTTTTTGCGATGAGTTTATTAAGGACAAGGAGATCCAGGCAGGGGTGCAGAACAGAGTACGGGTGCCTTCTCTCATGGGAGCGGAAATGGCAATCAGCTTCCACACGACATGCAACCTCATCGTAGTTTTGCCAATGACCCTTTGTTTCGTGGTGGCTGGAGACGGTGCATGTTGACAGACATAGTCACTTAGTCGCCAGGAGAGGCTGGAGCTGATTGCTTCCAAGCCCTTTGCCCGCATGAGCTACACGGAGGCAGTGGAGGCAGCCCCGCTGTGCCATCCGATCGTGAGACCGTCAGACTGTCTTGCTGCCTTTCTGTCTGTCCGTCTGCATGTTCGTTTGTGCTTTCATATGCGTGTGTTTGGAACTCTGTTACCAAGAGCTGATTTGCTGTCTGCGACTGAGGTGTAGCATGTCAATACGTGCAGGGGGCAGCAGGGAGTCCACAGTTCTGCTGCTAACGAAGACGGCGGTGGATACTCCGTGTAGCAGATTGGGATGCCAATCTGTGTGCCTGCAGTAGAGCGTTCTGCAGTTTTCGATTACCGTGGCAAGATTCGATTACCATGGCAAGAACTCCAATGTCCCAATGTGAAATGACGTGGTAATCTTCTTCAATGTCTGAAGTATTTACTGCCAATGTGGCTTAACGTTTTCACCTCTGGAGAGAGAGTTCAAGTATCAAGTCGAATGAGAGGGAGGATTGCACGAGTGTGCGCGGGTTTCTGTGCGCTGGGGCTTGCTCCAGTATTTCACGGTCGTTGAGATTTGCAGGCTTTGTGCAGATTCATAAGAAGTTGCCTGGGCAGGTCTTGCAAAAGCACATCAAAGCCGGGGACGTGAAGTTCGAGTTTGAAGTCGAATGGGGAAAGGAGCTTCAAACAGAACACGAGCTCCAAGCCTACCAGACGGATTCACTGTGTGTCGCAACAAAATGGCACAAGAAATCCCCGGCATTGGCCACACTCAGGAAGTTCCTCACCGACGTGGTGTGCAAAGGTCCCTGCATCGTCTACAACTACCCCAAGGAGCGCCCAGAGCCGAGCTTAGACGACTCGAGTCTCCATCCCTCTACCCTCCGAGGACTGCAAGGCTTTCTACATGAGACTCAACGAGGACGGCAAGACGGTGGCTGCCATGGACCTTCTGTGCCCAGGATACCGCAAGTCATGGACCTCCATGGTGCAAGCACCCACTGTCCTGGATTCGAGGAATTGGAGAGCTCGTAGGAGGTTCACAGCGTGAGGAGCGGATTGAAGTCATGCGCCAAGTGCCATGTGCTCACTCCGAAGACGGTAGACCCAGTAGACATGGCCCCGCGGGCAACTTTCAAAGTCGCAGAGCCGGAAGTCAGGTCCTTGACGATCGAATCGCCGAGTGGAAGCCCAAGTCCGGCCAAGACGCTGCAACGAAGCTCGATGCCACCCTGCAATGCGTGCACAATGCATCACCACCTGCGGTGTTTGTTTTTTTGTGTCATGCTCCACCATGCCATGCATATCATGCCGTGGCGAAAACTTGGCCCTGATCGAACGGCTTTCCTCTGCCGCCGTTGCCATGCTGCAGACTGCAGAAACGCAGGGCTTGGGGTCCAGCTCCTCGGCTTCGAATCGTCCACCCGATCATGGGAGTGCTATGGACTTGTCCATGATGTAGAGCAGTTCGGATCTTCTTCAAGCGGGGGCGAGTCGCTTTGGCTTTATCTCAGGAACTGAGGATGCAAACGGCCCAATGCCTGCAGTGGCCCATTGTCTCCTCCACATGAGTGCATGAGGGCAGTGCCTCGGCTGCCACGCTCTGCCTTCAACGGTAGGCCTCAGTCTGTCTCATGGGATGCACGTGTGTACCAGATCCCATGTCCAGGTGGACATCCGGCCCTGGTGCGAGCCGCTGGTTGTCTTGCTGTGCCTGAATGTGCCCGCTGTTGCATGTTGAGCCCGCGACCCCATCGGCTAGCTGCTCTGCCTGGAAGCTCCTGCTCTCCTTGCCGTCCTAGCCGCCGCGGCGTCAGTCAGCTACTGTTCTTCAACATCACTTCCTCAGGTGTTTCGCGGAGTGACTGCTGGACTTTCCGACAGCTGCGAAGGGCGCTGCGACGTACTCCAGACTCTTGGTGCACTTCAATCACTGAAGTAGCATGTCCAGGCCGAGTCGCGGGTTCGTGCAGGTGCGGAACTCTGAACGTTCGTGGAGAGAAGTGTGCGCACGCGAATGCAAGCCGCAGGCTTTTCAACACTCGTAGCCGTAGCCGACTTGAGGCCTGGTGCCAACTGCCAATGCATCAGCAGCTTGGGCAGCAGCGTAGCGCCGCCTTCGCAGATCTGTCGCCTTTCGCCGAAGTCGCCTTTGCTGAGGCTGGTGCCGGCAGATGGGTGATTGTGCAAAGCTTAGTTGCTCCCAAGTCGGCCGGGCCAATCTCGTTGTAATGTTGCAGCAGCGCCAGATTGTTTTTGCAATGAGCATGGCATGAGGTTGTCCGGACTACGACAGCTGCCACGATGCAAGAGCAAGTGCTCTGGAGACCACCGCTGCTTTCCATGAACGGGCAGTTTCTTCACTTTGATAGAGATGCAGTTCAATTCAAGCGAAGATAGGGGTCTGTGGGGTTCAGGCTGGACGAGGTTGCATAGCCGCTTCTGTGAGGTCCAGTGGCCAAGCCGAGAACGCGAGGCACGTTAAGCAGTCAAGAGATGTCACACTGCCCGTGCTTGATGCCAGTGGTTTGTGATCAGTGTATCTGCGTAGCTCGTTAAACGGCCGTGGGAAGACCAAGCCAATCTATCTTGAAATAGTGAGCTCAGAAGAAGGTACTTTGTAGTTGTGTTTGTAGAGCCTGTACTTACCGGATATTTTGCTTGCTGCAGGAAACCACACCCTCAACATGGGCACCAGCTACAACATGGGCACCAGCCACAACGCAGGCACCGGCCACAACATGGGCACCAGCTACAACAACTGAAGAGGTGCACAACCGCAAGAAGTCACTTCTGTTTGAGCTGGCATGTCACTCATGTGTGCAAGTGTGACAGGAAACCTTTCTGCATTACATGCCTGACACCACGGTGACGACCCTCACCATCACTTCCACTTTGCCGCCGACAACGACGCCGACTACACTCACAAGCACCACAATTACAACCATCACCTCCACTTCCGTTACGACTGTTACGACTACGACAGTGACGACAACCACAGTTACAGCGGCACAGCTGCAGAAAGACAGGTTTGTCCATGACTTGTTCTGTGAAACGCAGTTGTAAGCAGAGCATCGGAGTACATGTCGAGTCAAGGGAGCTTGCCCACCCAACTTCCTGACCCTTACTTTTGAGGTTTCTTCAGTCACAGAGACGACCACGGCCACCAGAACTACAGTGCTGAGACTGCAGAAATCCTAGTGTGGGGTGCAGCGCGGTTTGCATTGGATTGACGGCTCAGGTGACGGCAACGCGCACCGCGACGAGCACAAGCATCACCACGACCACTGTGCTTAGGAAGCAACCTTGAACCCTGACCTAGTGCCCGGGCACACGCACCCTATGAGCATCACCATCTGAGCCCACAGTGGGTTGAGGTGACGACGCTGACCACGACTGTGACTTGTTCGCAGTAGCGGTAGTGCTTCGCTTTCGAGGGAGGATTTCCCTGCTGTGAAGGGCTGAAGCAATTGCAGACGTGTCCTCTTTCGAGTCTGACACTCGGACAGGTGGTGACTAGAATCTTAATGGGTCGGTTGCTGCCACATAGTCATAGAAGACAGCGCAGATGACCGCGACGTCGACATCACACACCCGCTCAGCTACTGCCACATCAACATCAGAGACCCGCTCAGTGACCGTAACGTCGACATCGGAAACTGGCTCAGTGACCGCAACGTCGACAACGTACACCGGCTCAGTGACCGTAACATCGACATCAGCCACCCGCTCAGTTACCGCAACATCAACGTCAGACACCCGTTCGCGAACGACCACAAGCATGACACGTAGCTTCACTGAGACAGCAACCACATCTACGACTACGGTATCGACGACGACTTCATCAACAACTTTATCTACGACGACATTGTCAACCACGACATTTTCAACTACGACATTTTCAACTACGACGTTGTCAACGACTAAAGTGGCATCTTCGATCGGAGCCGGAGCAACTACGGCCAAAACAGTGATTCGCTCGGCAGGCCGTTGCATCAAGAGGGAGGGCAGAAAGGCGTAGCCTGTCTCAGCCAAGGTGAAGCCTGCGGCGAAGCCATCCTCGCAGGTGGCGTCATTCGCCAACCTTTTGGTCCCTCAGCGATTTAGAGGGGAACCTGCGCTTGCGTGTTGCAAGTAATGCTCGCGTGGGCCACGAGCGCTCCGTCGTAAGGTCAGTGAGGAGAACTGCCAGATGGGTCTTGAGGAAACCAAGGTGGAGGTGGAGGTTGGTGGGACCACTCGAAGCAGCTTGACTCTGACCTGATTTGAAGCCAGCTCCTGGTGTGGTTCTGACACTGGGTGTGTCAGGTGCGCTGTTATCCCTTCCTTCGGCCGTGTTTGCCGGGAAGCTCCCACTATGGCTGGTCTTTCATGGGACCGACGGCCAGGCTACGGACCCTTTGCCCGCAGCTGTAAGTTGCTGTGAGTCCCGACTCGATGCGAAGTCCTAGCCGGACTTCGCGAGAGGACCCTTTGCTCTCCCTCTGCACTCCCTTTCCGCACTCAGGACTTTCTGCGTTACTCAGGCCGGGGCCAGCTTTCCGCACGCCTTTGAGCCAAGTGGAGGGGGCGAAGTCTACGAGTCGCTTTTGAGCCCAGGGCGGTCCAATTGTTGTCGGTGTGCGAGAGATGTGATGTGCCAGGCCTGGATGACTTCTCCCGGGCAAATCATATCGCCCTCGTGGTCCCGCAGGCTCCTCCTCACACGAATAGGTTGCACAATCTGCGCTGCCTTTGTGGCTGTTTCGTGCTCGCCTGAAAGATTCTGACCCGCGCCTCAATGCACAGGCTCTGCCGAACTCCGACTTCTATGGGCAGCACAGAGCTCATCAGAAATGGGTGGCAGTGCATCGTGGTGGGATGTCGTTGTAGTTCATGCCTGAGGTCGCAGTTCAATGTGGCTTGTCTGCATGGACGCTTTGCTGGACCAGGACAAGCGAACCTCTGTCCAGGTTGGTCTGCACAGTCAGCGGGAGGATCGACAGGCCTGTCCAGGGCCTTGGGATGTATTGGGTGCTCGAGTCTGGAAACGGGAGGGGGCTTTTTCAATCCGTTTCGCCCACGATGACCCGAATGTTCCGGCAATGTCCCCGCTCCCGTGCCAGAGTGAGAGAGAGAGCTCCTGGCTCTGACCCCAAAGAAGGCAAAAGAGAGATCCGTGTCTTTCCGACCTCCCCCACAAGGCCCCTAAACAGGGGCGCGCCATCCGGCGCGGGGTGCCTGATCAGCACCCTGTACCCCGGAGAACAGAACAGAAGCCACGCAGGTCGTTTCACGTACAGCCAAGCCTCTCTACCAAAATGGTGGACGGGGGAGTGCCTGGAGCGCGAATCAGGGAGACGGCCCCTGACTCTAACCCCGAGGGAGACGAACAACGAGACCAGGACCTTCACTGTGAGGACGGGCTCATAACACAGCAGCAAGCACAAGCGGCATGAACAGAAAACTGGCCTCCGTGTACGAGATTGTATCAGGGGCGGGGACGACAAGAAGCAGGGAGGGGCTGGTGCAGTTTAGGGTTAAGGATGATCGTCGAGGGCTTCTGCATAAACGGTTCCTTGGATGCTGTGCTCTTTTTAACAGGTCGCCCGGAACATCCTTGCATGATGACTCACCGGCAGGGGGTCCACGACGTGGAGTTGACCCGAGCTCTGTTGGAACAGGCCAGTCGCCCGTGATTCGTCAGTAGGCCTGTGTTTGGGGGGCTTTGCTGAGGGTAAAGCAAACATATCTGTGGCTCTGGTGTCATTCTGGGCTGTGCTGCTTGTTCATCCCTGCCTCGACTTGCCCTTTGGATTGTCATGTCTTGCGATTTTTTGTGGACTTTGTCGCGCAAGGTCATGCGGCTGCCATGCATTGATGTTCAGCGCATCCACTGTACTGGCTACTCCAACGGAGCCCGTTTCTGTCTCCTGGCGTAGTCAGAATGGAATTCACGGTAAAACATCGAGCGGCTCGAGACGGCGACGCCACATTTCGTGAGGCATACGGCTGGCATCGGAACTGCACTTGGCTTAGCACTCTGCTCTTGATTTCCCTGCAGACTGCACACTTGTACTGTTCATGTGAGGCCGGGTCTCATTGCTTCAGTTGCGCCCATATCAGGATCTCCCAATCGTCTGAACGGGCATGGTTCATGATCATATAATGGTCGATGCGCACCTGGTTGCTAGGACTCCGGTACCCGAGCCCGAACAATGCAAGTGCCTTGTCAGCAACTGATCCACTTTTCGTTTCCCCGGCGGTCCCAAGCGCCCCCCCCCTTGCTCGGCCTCTCTGGTGACACATGCGAGGCAGAGCCATTCCCATTCTAGTTGCCTGGATGCGATCTGGTACAGCGGTCCATTCGGAGAGGGAGATGAACAGCCGGGGATTTCTGAAAGGGTCGTTTGAAGGGCCCCTCTCGGAGGCAAAATCTTTGGAGAGGCTTCGGCAGAAAGGTGCCGCCAAGGTATGCGAATGTACGGCGAATCCCCAAGTTGCCCGGCTGAGTCTGAAAGTAGGCCGCGGAAGTTTGGCAACATTATAGCTTCATGTACCATGTCCTGTTGTATGTCAAAGGTTCAGCGGGTCTGAAGACCCCGTGAATGTTGGCTTTGGAGCAGTGGAACATGCACGGTGACGTGACCGCCTCCCTTTTTCATCTATCTGTCTATCTGTCTGTCTATCTGTCTGTCTATCTGTCTGTCTATCTGTCTGTCTGTCTATCTGTCTGTCTGTCTGTCTGTCTGTCTGTCTGTCTGTCTGTCTGTTAAGTCTTGTTATCTATCTGTCGATCTATCGAACTATCGAGATCGATCGACCGTTTCGTCGATCGATCGATCCATCGATCCATCGATCGATCTATGTATCTGTCTATCTATCTATCCATCTATCTGTCTATCCATCTATCTATCTATCTGTCTATCTATCTATCTATCTAACTATCTATCTATCTATCTATCTATCTACCTATCTATCTATGTCATCATTATGTGTCTGTCTAT